CAGGAGAACGAGCACAGTGCTGTGTAGACATGTGCGATTCATTTCGTTCAATACGGAATAACGGATATTCCGAAACTAAACGAAACGAAACAGAACACATTTTTTGACGGCGCACAAGTCTAGTGCTGTGCTAGAACTCCTGTGTTGGAGGTGACAGGGTCAATAAAGAGACCCTGTCACCTCCAAATGCTTTCACACAGGGGCTTGTTAGCCCTTGTGTAATAGCAATAAAGTGAAAAAATTTAAATAAATGACAATTAAAAATGGATAAAATAAAAAAATAATAAAAATAAATGACAATTAAAAATAACCAATATTTCAAAGTAAAAAAAAAGTAAAATACAATTTAAAAAAAAATAAAAACCCAGCTGCACCCACCATCTGCATGCATGGGGTATTGTGTGTGAGTGGAGTGGGGGATCCGTTACCGCATGGCAATCATGCACAAAATCGTGTGGATGGCCTTGCGGTCACAAAATCACATACCACCGCCGATCGCGCTGGCGGTGCCATTATTGTCTAATGGCACCCCAGTCACTCCTGGCAGATTGCGCGGTTTCCCGCCACAATACCGCCCGTGCAATCAGACAAAATCACGGTTGAAAACACTGCATGGTGCATGTTGCAAAAAAAGGTACATGTACCTTTTTTCAGTGATTGCCACACGGATGTAACTCCACTGAAAGCAATGGGGCCGCGCGGCAACTGCTGCATGCAACTGCACACGATCGCCCAAGTCTACACCAGCCCTAAAGGGTAAATTCACTTTCCCAAATTATTTGTAAAAATGGAATGACCTGCTCAAATCTGGCCCCCTCCCGCTATACTTACCTTTCAGGGAACGGTCCTTCCCTTGTGCCAATCTGGGTGTACTATCTGTAACTGTGCCATGTATTCTGAATTTCGCTCGCAAATTGCAAGCACTTGTTGGTCAGCGCGGTCACCTGACACCACTGACCAATGAGAAGCTCTTCTTGGCACTGCTAAATACGGTTTTGGGTAAAATTATTTTTTTTGTATCCGGGCAAGTAGATTGTCATAAGGGACAAGTAGATTCGGCCCCCGCTTTAGTCCTTGGACAAGTAGTTTTTTTTTAAATTTCCACACCCCTGAGTACATTTATTTAATGTAGACTTCATAGTAACATTTTTATGATACCATGTGATTAGAACGTTATCATGTTTAATTCTGTCCCTAAGACCCAACACAGTACTTTCTGGGACAATAACAAGAGAAAAAGAGTGCATTATCCAGGTATAAAATGGTATTCCTCAGTTTCAGTGTGTTGTACTGGTTCATAGAGGGTTTTTTTTCTAATTAAACAAGTTGGTCATGGCTATAAGCCAATATACCCTTCTCTTTACAGGACCAATCTGTTCATTTTCCGCAAACAAATTACAATTTTGAATTGCTCCCATTATTCATGTTTATTTGAGCCTAGATTTTCATAGTCATAACGAATGAAAACATATCGAGCTGACAAAAGTTTGCAGAGGATATTTACTTGTAAGTAGTTCACTCAAGCAGTAAAGCTGACAGATAATGGAACATTTTTAATGCAGTTATAAAATTCTGGGAACATGTGTTAGGTTTGCTTACGGGATATAAAATGCTTGCTCCTTGAAATATACATAATTTTCCTTATCTGACAGATGTCTAGGGAAAACAATATCCCTCCATTTCTGTTGTTCATTTATTTTTAATAATATAATTTTGTCATTTTAAAAAAACATTCAGCATAGGGACATTGCTAAGAGTTATTCCTGTCTAATTAGTGTAATATTGTGTAGTGCTCTACCTTCACAATAATGTTTTTTTTTAGCTTCTTGCTAGAGACGTAAAATAATACTTTATTGTTGGATAAATAAAAAACATTTTTTAGCCCCATTCCATCAATTTAAAGGGTTTTTTTGTATGTAGTGGCCAAAAGCATAACACTCTACACATCAGTTATACAAAGTAATAAATTTCTTAAGCGACCCTTGGTGCAGCACTTACTTGAATATAGACTTAGAAAACTAAACTAAAAATAAGAAACATGAAACCTTTTGAAATAAATGTATCTATGCAGAAGACTCCTCCTAAAACAAGTGTATCTGTGCGAAAAAATTAAAACAAGATCTAATAATCACATATACTGTACATGCTAACAGGTAACACTTGATAATTGGCAAACGAAAAACATGGTGGCTATGTAGCAGTCTGTGGCTATTTGTTGACTGTAAATTATAATGTCCAACGAAAAAAGGAAACTCTGTGTAACAATTTCAGGAAAACTTCTCAAAATGTTCTTTAACCCTTTTGCAGTGCTTCACCCAAGTGGAATGCAGCTCACCTTGTAGTGTTGACCATAACTAAATGTATATTAGTGTGGTCTAATCCTGCTTTTCCTTCCGTGGGATACAGATCTTCCTTTACAAAACTAGTCTCCAGCTTGTAGTTCTTCAGCAAGGCTCAAAAGAAAATATTCACAAAAGGCACATAACATAAAACCAGTATGTGAAAAGCCTGTCAAATGATTGAGTTCAGATGTTTTAGCCATACACAGGTTAGCAGGTGCATAATATCAAGCACATAGTTGTGTAATCTCCAATGACAGTAGCATGCAACGACATTTGAGAAATGTGTAGGCTATACTGCTTCATACAGGATAACTGTACACTGGCAAAAAAAAGCTGTTAGTCAGCCATGCTATTACCACTCCCACTACCAAGGTCTACCATCTTGGCTGGAAAGCATACTTCGCATGATGCAAGGCGAGGAATTTTCATCCAAGGAAGTACTCTATGGGATACTTTCTGACCTTTCTCCAATCTGGTCTGGATCAACAATTGGCCTTGATGACTATCAAGGAACAAATCTCAGCTTTAGCAATTCTCTTTCAAACTCTGCTTGCCTCTTATTTCTTGGTAAAAGCTTTTGTTCAGGGTGTTGCACACATAGTTCTACCCGAATGAACCTATCAGAGTTATTTCTCTGTCCACACAAAGTTGTCTTCCATTGCTATCACCTCTGCAAGGTGATTTTCTAAGTTGTTAGCCCTTCCTTGTAAAGAACACCCTTCTGGTTTTACACAGTTACAAGGTTGTCTTGAGCCCTAGGCCCTCCTTTCTCCCCAGGTTGTTTTCTTCTTTTCACCTTAACCATGACATTGTGCTTCCATCTCTCTGTCCTGCCTCAGTACACCCCATCTTAGTTCAAGTTCATCTGTCAACCACGTCTTCCTTTAGACTGACTGACTCTCCTTTTGTCATTCAGGATGATCTCTAAGGGGACAGCCTGCCTCTCGTTCTTCATTTTATAGGTGGATTAGGCTGGGATGCCATCTGGTCTTCTGTTCACATGTTCACTAACAGGGTTGTTCACAAAAGGGTGAAGGGTTTGGAGAAGGCAGGAGAAGTGAACAATCTAGGACAAAATAGCTGAACTGGAAAGTGAGCTGAATTGGAGAATCTTTGCAAATCACACCTATTTTGGCCTAGATTGTTCACTTCTCCTGTCTTCTCCAAACTCTTCACCCTTTTGTAAATAACCCTGTAAGTGTTGCCAGGTGGATATGCAAGCCTTATCTTATGCATTAGGGTGGCTCTTTGAGCTGCAGCTAGCCCCTGGTTTACCTGTTGAGATTTTTGTGGAGTTTGTTTTGTGTTTTGTTTGCAGTGTTGCCCACCCCTTTGGTGGACTGCTTTTGGATGTCCTATACATCTCAGAATCCTTCTGACCCTGTATCCCTTAATAAACAGTTAAGAAAAGGAATGTTTGACTCACCATAAAAGCCTTTCCAATGGTTCATTTTGGGACACATGTCCCAGCCTTCTGTCTTTTAATCACTCTTGCTACTGCTTTTGCACAAAACTTAAGCACGATGGGAGTGATGGGGGTTATATTCAGGCTGACTAACAGCTTTTATGCGCCAGTGTCCAGTTCTCTTGTATACAGCAATGTAACCCATATATTTTAGGATCCTTCTGGCTGCGTGCCTCCTAAAAACCTCTAAGAGAAAGATTTTATAGTAAATCGAAATGCAAGACTTAAGTACAGGTGCATGAAAAAAGCACCAAAAATTTGAAAGGAGAAAGTGTGAACTAGATAATAGTTTTCATTCCCTTGTATGGATTTGTACACTGGCACGGTGAGAGCCAACTGAGGAAATGAACTGTATAAGTGTGATGATATTCATACTTGTTGCTCACAGATAGATGCATTTTTTTCAAGATTTGAAGTTTTTAATGAGTTTTAAATTTACAAATCACCACATATAATTGTTGGCAGCAATCTCCCATGAGTTTTAAACAAAAATAATAACAATTTTAACACATCCAGTTGGCAGCAACCTTTCTCTATGTGTAGCCATTGTGTGAGAATGCCTTTTGCTCCCGACACAATTCACGCATTTGCTATAAACTGCAAATGTCTTAATTTTTTCAGATCTAGCCACAACCATCTATAGAGAATGGTGATTTATGGATGAGTGTCCAGATCTACTGCTATCTAGGTATTGTCATATGTATAATTATGTTTTTTTAGTGAAATATATAACCCAATAATAAGTTGTTTACACTTAAAAAGCCTCCTATATACATGGCATTAGTACTGAGTTAGCTCTGTAGTGTCACTATGCATTGGGTGCTCTCCAGGGCAGATAAAGCACCTAATATGTCACTGCAACCTGTGCACTATTGTACAAAGAGGAACTTCAGCACTTAAGCGGAAGGATATTGGCTGCGTTCCACGCTGCCTGATAAATCCATGATTTGTTGCTTTCCTTTGTTTTCCTTTTACGGCTGACCCACACTTTAAAAAAGTAGGTTAGCTCCCTGCTGACTGCCACGAGCATGGATATAAGTTTGAAGAAAACAGCAGGATCCCTTGCAGTGCACCTTTTGTTGTCAGGGGCTATTTATTTTACTGTCGTGTCTCTACAAAAGAAACTTTTTTCTTCCGCTTAAGAACAAAGATAATTTAATGAATTTCTTTCTTTCTCTCTCTTTCTTAAACAGAAAAGTCTATCAGTCTGATTATGGATGACTACAATGTCTCTGCCGAGAGCCCCCACACAGGCCAAGGCCGACAGAACTCAATTAAGTGTGGATGGCTGCGGAAGCAAGGAGGTTTTGTAAAAACCTGGCACACGCGTTGGTTTGTTCTCAAGGGAGACCAGCTCTATTATTTCAAAGATGAAGATGAAATGAAGCCTTTGGTGAGTAAATGGAACATATAATGGAGCAGGTTAAACAGACATTAGAAGATTCTATGCGACAAAAGGCAGAGTGTTGTAGACCCTGCTCTTCTAAATACCTGCCTTGGGCTCTTCGTGCTGTATAAAGGAGACTGCTGGTTCTGTAATGTGAACATGCCTACTCTGTTAATTAAAGTCATACTCTAATTAGTTATAATCCTTTAAAGAATGTGGTTTCCTTCAGGAATTGTGGGTTTTAAATTAATTTAATGATTTGGCTTTCTGAACTCAAATTCTTTATTTTTTAATCCTGTGTATTTGGTACAACTTGTTTTTAATTTCTTCCTCCTAATAAAAGGTACTTTTTTAACATTGAACACTTTATGAATATCACACAATTGTGTAACTTATATATTCCCAGTAACATAGTGTACTTAAAGTGATATTAAGGTCAAAAGGATTTTAAGCTATTTCAAACGCAGAATCAACTTGTCCCCTGAGCACTGGCTGCTGACTGACTTTGTGCTTTAGGGTGACTCCTTTGTCAAGCAGACCTTCACCCTTGTGTGTTCTAGTGTACTCTGTGTGGCTATACAAACACACAAAGTGTTGTGATGGATCACCTGCACTACATACAGCATACAGACCGTCTGCTACTGGTAGTGGTGCATGAAGTGATAGCATGGATGGCGCCATGTCACAGAAATAACAGAAGTGAAAATCACCAGCCCTCGACTTGTATGCATAAGGCCTGTGGTTGCTTTTATTGGCACATCATATCACCTGCATCATCAAGCCAACTTTTCAGGGCCACGAAGGGTCCCTTCCTCAGGGGGACATAGTGACTATGTTGCCCAGAGGAAGGGACCCTGCGTGGCCCAAATACCCTGCGTGGCCCCAGTGAAGTCGAAGGCTGGTGGTTTTCACTTCCACAAACACACAGACAAAGCAAATCAAGCTACTCCCCTCTGTGACGGACCCCGGTACTCAGGATGAGTATGTCCGCCGCTGTATTCTTCCTTGCTCAGGAAGCTCCCAGTTTCCACAGTCACTAGTCGAGACCCGAGTGTAGGGTGAAACAAACTCTGATTTATTGAGTAACTGTGAAACCTTTTATACACAAAGTGATCAGATCAGATTATAATCCCATCACATCCACCTTGCCCTAAAGAAGGCCAGCTTACCAAGGATTGCATTTTAATTTTTTGTTCCCATAAAAAATGACTAAACATATCAGTATAATGATTACGTAAAATAAATTAGATCCCCAGTTAGTCATAATATCATGAATGTTTTTTTATAGCACCACCAATGATCAATAAACTGAAACCAAACTATAATGACATTATCAAACAGGCTGGAAAAGAGAAACATCTAAATAAGGGGTAGGCAAACTCTGCCTCTCTAGCTGTGGTGCAACTACAAGTCATATTAGGCATTGCAAGACTCTGACAGCCACAGGAATGACTTCCAGAGGCAGATGTATGATAGGATTTTTTAGTTTCACCACAGCTGGAGGGCCAGAGTTTGCCTAACCCTGATCTAAATTATTCTGATACGTCTTCTTAGTTTACATGATGCTGTGTCAGGCATCTGCAATATGTGCTAAAATCTGACATACACACAGTAAAATGTAACTGGTATAACAATATACTGTATGCTTTTAAGAAAAATGTATTCTTGGCCAAGTATGTATTAGAGCTGCCCTTGCAGTAGGCCTTGGGAACTGAAGTCTGTGCTATTTGGAAGGTCATCTATATGGCCACCCTTTATAGCCTTCACAGCAGACAATGAATCTGAAGTTTGAATGGCAGCTTTTGTGTGGTTTCCACTAAAATTCTGACCTTTCCAGTACTTGTTTTGCTGTTACCAAGAAGCAATATTTAATGACTTTTTTTTGTCAGTGCTCTAGTAGAGACTATGAAGGCAATTTATCAAACGGAGCAGACAAAATCTGGAGCAACTGTGCATGGCAACCAACCAGCCTCTCTCTTTCATTTTCAAATCTTAACTGAACAAATTGAAGAGAGATGCTGATTGGTTGCCATGCACAGCTGCTCTAGATTTTGCATGCTCCAGTTTTGATAAATGCCTCCCACTGTGTGCTGGGTAATACTGGTTAATCAGCAGTTACTGAACACATAATATTGTTTCAGCTTAGAACTGCCAAAATGACATACTGGCAAATGGCACTAGCTTTGTAGTTACTGACCTAGGGCCCCCATGATGTCATTAGAGCCAGATTGACATCATTGGAACGTGTGGGCACACTCCAAGCTCTTCTGCTTCACACATTTTTCATAGAGTTAGGTATATGGCTTAGGACAGATATGATAAGCGATCAAATACAAATTAAGTAGGTACAGAGGTCAGACAAAAACTCCCTTGTACTCTGCTTGAAATTGACTTGAGTGGCTGTATTGTGGAATGTAACTGTGCTAAACCATGAACGTTTTTCTGCATTTTACTTTGCATCAAGAAAAGTAAGAAGCTGTTTTGTTTTTAGCAAATTATCATCTCATGTGCTGAGAAATAATTACTTTTTATTCTTGATGAAATGCAGTCACCTCAGTTCCCACAGAGGGAAGGCCGTCCGTACGCCTCACAAATGACAGCTGGGGGAGCCAGCCGTGATGTCATGGCTGGCTCTGCCCAGTTGCAATGACAGATCAGTGTCACCAAATGACCTGGGGACGCTGAACTGTCATTAAACAATGACAACTGGGCGAGGCCAGCCGTGATGTCACGGCCGGCTCCGCCCAGTTGTTATTCATTGGCTGGGACCTGCTAGAAGACTCTAGCAGGTGCCGGCGAATAGGAAACAGTTGGGCAGAGCCAGCTGTTACTGCTAGCTCCACCCAATTGTATTTTTTTATCATTTTTTTTTCCTTTTTCATACATTTTTCTTTTTTTAGATTTAACATTTATTTACATTTAAAAAATATTTTTTGTTACATGCTTCATCTTTCAAAAAGTAATGTGCTGTTGCAGGCAGCATACTACATGTACAGTATTATCTCCTTGCTGATCTCCCTCTGTGCTGTGAATGCGGAAGTAATGTGTAATACATCACTTCCGCATTCACCTGTCAGTCATCTGGCTGCTATAGCCAGAGAGAAGAATCTGATGAAGCAGATCTGTGCTTCATCAGCTTCTTTTGGGGTACCCGGGTGACATTAGGGGTCTCAGAGACCCCTAATGTCTCCATAAAGAGGACCTGTCAGTGTGCCTTTGCTATTATATAGGGGGATTGTTATCCCCCTATGTGATAGCAATAGCAATAAGTGTAAAATAACTGATGAGCGGTAAAAGCTTTTAAAGCGTCACCTATGGCCAATTTTGGGTATTGTAGTTTTTTGAGGTTTCGCACGCACACGCAAATGCAAGGCTTGACATGTTTGGTGTCTATTTACCCGACGTTACCCCATCTCTTATATTTTAGCAAAAAATTGGGTAATAATAAAGGTTTTATCATTTAATATAGGGGAAACAGTTTTTTTTGTAAATTTTTCCTTAATATATTAAAAAATATAACCCCCAGTGGTGATTAAATACCACCAAAAGAAAGCTCTATCTGTCCCCAAAAAATGGTATAAAATTAATTTCAGTATAGCGTTGCATGTAACAATGTCAGTCAAAGTACCGCAGCGCTGAATACTAAAAAATGGCCTGGACAGGAAGGGCGTTTAACACCGCGGACTTCAAGAGGTTAATTACCTCTGCCATCAGGGGACGTAAGAACTTGGGTGGGGGTTCAGTTTAGCAGGTTAAGATGGGGGCTAGGGGATTTATTTTAATGACTAAAACTTTTTTTTTTTACATTTTGAATAGAATAAGATAAGTGTTCTAAGCCCCCTCCACTTTATCCAAAGCTAAAAAAAAAAAAGTTTTGGCTTCAGATTAGCTTGTCCTTTAGGCCTGAATGTTATTTGAACTGCACAGAGTCTTTTGATTCCTCCTTGGAGTCACCCACAACTACCTGCCCTCAAACCCTTATTAAGCTGCTAGATTCAAATACAGATATAAAGCAGTGTCAAGCATGAAATCATTACCAATATGATATATGCTTTGGGTTTTGTCCCTTATGTTGCTGTTTTAGCCAGTGGCTTTTGACACATACAATTCTATACAAGTGTAACATTTCTATAACAAAATAAAAGTTTTACTTTAAGTATTTTTTATGCTAAGCAATTTGAGGAATCAGTTGTTTGAACTTGAAACAATTTACAAAAATATCTACAATTCTGTATAACAATATGCTGTTTTTATTAAAAAGGATGTAGTGAGGCAACAGTAAGAACGATAAATTAAATATTCAAACTAAATATTCAAATATTGATGCAGGGCTTTTTTTCTGTAAGAAGTTATCAGGTATATCTCCAGGGTGCTCAAAAATACATGAGATATAAATATTCCATTGAAAAGCGTCCATGTATAATTTAAAGCTGTAAAGGAATAGTTTATCGTCTCGTATGTAATAGAGTCTGGAGCACTGAACACTACACTGGAGCATGGAGATTTAATCCATTCTGAAAATGGTCTGTGTCAGCAGTTAGGAGTCTAGGAAATGGATTTTCTGTTATCCTTTTAGCTGTCCTGGGATTTTTACGTTTCATATACAGTCTTGTAATCCATTAAATCATTATCCACTGTCTTGTACAACTTAGAAGGTCACACTGATCATTAACCCTTTTAACAGAGAATGACATTAAAAAACAAACATGCAATTGTAAATATACAAAAATAAAACACACCTGTTAAAATTATATTGAATTATTTAAAATAGTAAAGAGCAACTCATAGTCATCAATGCTGACACTCCATTGCTATAGGGACATATAAAACAGAAGTATGCCTGATCTTCATTAATGACAAGTATCTTGCTCTTTATGATCTGTGATGGTAATGCAGTTGCTGCAGACGTTTGGCCTTGAGATATGTCAACACTTTGCTGGAAAGCAAGTTGTTTTCCTAGGTATGACAATGCCATGTAGATGCAAGCTAGGAAGGGTTCACAGAAT